TTGAATTTGGTTGACATTCACTCGGAAGTGAATTGCAGAACTTACTTTGTATGTACCTTTAAGGGTTAATATACCTATCAGTGAACACAACCATTCACAATTTATGCGGAATGCCAAAAAACAGCTGTTTCGGCAAATTGAGTTTACTCTACCAACAACACAAAGCATTTCTATTCTACCGAACGAATTGGCGAAAATAATCAATAACAAATGATAGATTTGTGTTTAAACGTGCACCAAAAATGAATCGCAGCAAAATTTCCTTCGGGAAAATAAATCTTAATCCCAACAAGCCGGCTGAACCAGTAAAAATGGTGACAGCGACTGGGGATGAAGCCTCGACTTCGGTGACCAAAGCAATGGTAGGAGGTTTCAAGAAAATGGGTAAAGAGCAGCTTATTCGACAGGTAGAAGAGGTAACAGATGATATGGAAAGCCAACATCTCAAAGAAGTTATGGGCATAAGCGGGTTTGGGCGTAAAACCGCAAAAGTTTTCGATATAAACGTGAGTAAGAAGCAAAAAGGGAAAAGTACCCAAACTGTTGGAGTAAAGGTTACCAGTTCTTGTATATTATAGGAACAAATTGCTAAAGCACGTGAAGTAGCGCCACCAAAACCATCGCGCACTGATAATGATGAACGAAGAGAAGCGGGTGAGGATGATTCCGATGAAGAACCAATATTTGGCCCCTTACCTACCGACGCAGTGGGTTCTGAGAGGGAGGCAAAGAACTCGGCAATTGCCAAGACTAAGAAAACTAACGCAGATAGTGATGATGGTGACGATGACGACACCGATGAGGACGACGAAGATGATGATGACGACAACCACTTGGAGCGCAAAATACCGAATACACATGAAGTGCAAATGAAGCACGGTTCACGTGCTGTGCTCGCTCTAGCCGGCGATCCTGCAGGCGCACGCCTTGTTTCCGGCTCTATCGATTACGATATGTGCTTTTGGGATTTTGCTGGCATGGACTCGGCCATGCGCAGTTTTCGAACCATACAACCCTGTGAGAATCATACTTTACGCGCACTTCATTACTCCGTTACAGGCGATATGATACTCGTAGTGTCTGGTAACTCTCAAGCGAAAATACTCGATCGTGATGGGTTCGAAAAAATGGAATGTGTCAAAGGTGATCAATATATAAGCGATATGTCGCGCACCAAGGGCCACACAGCACAACTTACCTCTGGTTGTTGGCATCCTTACACACGGGAGGAATTTCTTACCGCCGCACTCGATGGCACGCTTCGTGTTTGGCATGGACTGAAGTCGAAAGAGCAGAAGACCGTAATCAAAACCCGCGCACAGGGCGGCTTGCGTACCAACGCATCGGCATGTGCATTTAACCGCGACGCCACATTAATAGCCGCTGGCTGCGTTGACGGTTCTCTGCAGATGTGGGACACACGCAAAATGTTCGTTAATACGACACACTGCTTGCGTGGTGCGCATCAAAAAGATGCCGAAATTAGCTCAATTCAATTCTCCTACATGGGCACTCAACTGGCAACACGTTCCAATGATGAGACCATGAAGCTGTGGGATTTGCGAAAGTTCAAAGAGCCCCTGCATGCATGGACTGATCTGTTTTCACGTTATGACACCACCGACTGTTGCTTCAGTCCAGATGATAAAATGCTGGTGACTGGCGAGTCTTTACCCAAAGGTGCCAAGGAGGCACAACTGCATTTCTATAGCACACAAACGTTTGAAGAAGTGAAACGTATCAGTGTCACCGACTCACATGTTATAAAAGCACTATGGCATCCGAAGTTGAATCAGATATTTGTCGGTTGTGGTAATGGTGTCATCAAGTGCTACTACGATGAACTACTCAGTTCACGTGGCGCCAAATTGTGCGTTGTGAAGACGCACCGCAAAAAGAAGCACACGGAAATGATTGGTGTTTCACAGATCATCACACCACATGCTTTACCAATGTTTAGGCAGGAAAAATCGAAGTCATCACGCAAGAAGATGGAGAAAGAGCGCCTAGATCCGGTGAAATCGCGGCGTCCAGATTTGCCAATCACCAGCGGTCAAGGCGGCCGTGTAGCTAGCTCAGGTGGCACACTCTCCTCATATGTCATAAGGAATTTGGGCTTAAGCAAGCGCGTTGATGACGACCAAGATCCCCGTGAGGCGATTTTGAAATATGCTAAAGAAGCGGAGGAGAATCCTTATTGGATAGCGCCGGCATACAAAAAGACTCAGCCAAAACCGATATTTACAGATTCCAGTGGGGAGCCAGATGCCAAGAAAGCCAAGGAGGAGTAATTAAGTTTGCGCGAGGTGTGCGTTAGCATGTAAATTGTGGTTTAGTACGAAAATAAATATTGCGAGTGACCAACGTATTTTTGTCGTACTCTTTTCTGCTTTTTCCTTGGAAACTTACATATGTATACAAATGAACTTAAACCACTTAAGCTTCCGCACGCGCCAGTCCGTCTTGTAGTCGATAGCAATCGCTAGCAATTTTCCATTTATCTTCCTGTGCAGTAATGATGAATGTTTGTTGGAATGGTCTAACACCTTCATCATGGTAGCGAACAGTACCGCCTGCCTGAATCATATAAGTCAGTTGACCACCAACCGCTTCATCGATAATTGGTTGAGCATCTAGATTGGTTATTGTATGTTCCGAAGTGGGCAGTTCAATTAGGTACTTTTGTATGTTGTCTTTGCCACTCGAGCCATTGCCATTCCACACAAGTAAGCCATTATCCAGGTACAAGCGACCCATTTGCTGGAAGTTAAAGGGGAAAATTAATGCTTGGAGCCAATTAATTCAAATAATTCGTGTGCTTACATGGCGTCGCTTATCAAACGATGTGTAGTATAGTTTTGTGAAGTCCTCAGCCGTGCGGCAGCATGACTCTACTTTGCTACGTAACTCCTGTGGTGGTTTATACACAGATTGAATGGTTATTCTAAGCCATACTACAATAATAATATATACTTACGCTATCCATTTAAATATTTATATATATTTTTATAGAAAATCCAGAAATTGCAAACAAAAGCGAAATCCAGCCTCCTTTTTTTGATTTTTGACGTTTACCAAGCGGCTGCATGAGTGCTGCCTGCCTGCTATATAATAAAATTTTTTTTTTAATATCAGAGCTAGAAAATTTGTAACTATTCCAAGAAATTTAATTTTTCCTTTCAAGTTAGGGTCATTAGTGCATAAAGTGTTTTAAAGTATTTAATTTATTTAATTTTCCAGCTTAACTTTTGGTTATTTTTTCTGGCAGCTCCAACGCCGAGTTCCATTTTGACACTTTCGCTATTGTGACTCTTTTGTTACTTCTTCTTGCTGCTGTCAAAAGGCGCCGAATTATTTGTACAGCGTCGTTGATTGCATTTCTTGCGAACTTTTTCAGATTAGTTTCCTTTGTTAATTTGTGATTTTCCTCACCAAGCAACTATTAAAATCATCAAGTGCAACAATTTGGGAAGCTCCAAGCTATGGCGGATGTACTGGAATATAGCGACATTACCGCCGAAGTGCGTGGCGTGTTGGTAAGTTCGATCATTGCCGCTCGCATTTTCTTTTCTTTCACACCTGCCTCAATTTTACAGACACCCGGTCGCTTGAAGCTCACTGATCAGCATATTATTTTCAAAAATAACAAAACTGGCAAAGTAGAGCAAATCGCAGCCGAAGATATAGAGCTCATAAATTCGCAAAAATTTGTTGGTAATTGGGGTTTGCGTATATTCACAAAAAATGGCACACTGCATCGCTTCTGTGGCTTTCGCGATTCGGAGCACGAGAAATTGGGTAAATTCTTGAAGAAAACCTACAATCAGGATATGGTGGAAAAGGAGTTGTGTGTCAAAGGTTGGAATTGGGGTACGGCACGTTTCCTTGGCTCAGCGCTCAGTTTTGACAAGGATAGCAAGACTATCTTTGAAATACCACTGCAACACGTGTCTCAATGTATGACGGGTAAAAATGAGGTAACATTGGAGTTTCATCAGAGCGATGACGCACCAGTCGGTTTGTTGGAAATGCGTTTCCACATACCAGCTGTAGAGTCGGCTGATGAAGATCCAGTGGAGAGTTTCCAGAACAATGTAATGAGCAAGGCCTCGGTTATATCGGCCTCTGGCGATGCTATTGCTATCTTCCGTGAAATACACTGCCTTACACCGCGTGGTCGCTACGATATCAAGATTTTCTCAACCTTCTTTCAATTGCACGGTAAAACTTTTGATTACAAAATACCAATGGATTCGGTGCTGCGCCTCTTTTTATTACCACATAAAGATAACAGGCAAATGTTTCTCGTGCTTTCGTTGGATCCACCAATTAAACAAGGTCAGACGCGTTATCACTTCTTAGTGCTGCTATTTGGTCCAGAAGAAGAGACTTCAATAGAGTTGCCGTTCACCGACGAAGAGTTGAAGGAAAAGTATGAAGGAAAAATCGAAAAAGAACTCTCTGGACCGTTGTATGAAGTTATGGGTAAAGTTATGAAGGTGCTAATTGGGCGTAAAATCACAGGCCCTGGCAATTTTATTGGGTAAGTTATCTACAGTCAGAGTGAAAAGTTAGCATACACCTTGTTCTATTCTAATATAATATATACAATGTTTTTCATGATAAATGAATGAAACTGGACACGCGCAATTTATCATACATAAATAGAAGTTTCTGAAAAGTTTCTAAAAATTCTGATTAAAAAGTTTTTGAAATTTGTTGAATTTTCTTTTATTTTGAATAAAGTGTGACCCTTTAATTTTTATGGTTTGTGTTATAGGAAGAACTGTATATTGTTATAAAAGTGCATGAATTTTTTTTTTTTTATCAAAAACACTGTATATAAAATAAGAACTACTTTAACTCTTGACTCAATTCTAAAATATTATTATTATTATATATATGAAAAGAAGTGACAATCCACTGCTTTACATTCAGATGGAGCACTAAAATAAATTCTCCCTCATATATGTATTCATTGCTTGCAGACATTCTGGTACTGCTGCTATCGGCTGTTCGTTCAAAGCCGCCGCTGGTTATCTCTATCCTCTTGAGCGGGGTTTTATCTACATCCATAAGCCGCCCTTGCATATACGTTTTGAAGAAGTAGCATCAGTGAACTTTGCGCGTAGCGGCGGTTCCACTCGCAGTTTTGATTTTGAAATAACATTGAAAAACGGCACAGTGAACACATTCAGCTCCATCGAAAAGGAGGAGTACGCCAAACTTTTTGACTACATACAACAGAAGAAATTGCGCGTCAGCAATATTGGCAAGGATAAAGGTGGTTCTGGTTACAATGATGTGGACTTTGGTGATTCGGATAACGAGAATGAACCCGACGTTTATTTGGCACGTGTGAAAGCCGAGGCTCGCGAAAAGGAATCGGACGATGATGAAGGATCTGATGAAGAGTCAACAGATGAGGACTTCAAGCCAAATGAAGCAGAATCAGATGTGGCCGAAGAGTACGACAGCAATGTGCAGAGCGATAGCGATGATTCGGACGCGAGTGGTGGAGGCGGCGGTGGTGGTGGTAGTGACTCAGGCGCTGAAAAGAAGAAGAAAGCAAAAAAAGAGAAGAAGGAAAAGAAGGAGCGTAAGGAGCGTGTGGTGAGTGCGAGATTTCTAGCTAATTGCGAAGGGTCTTAGTCTCTGTAACAATTATAAATTATTTATTTTTTGCAGAAAAAAACTTCTAAGACCAAAAAAGATGCCAACAAACCTAAACGCGCCACAACAGCCTTTATGTTGTGGCTAAATGAAACTCGCGAGCAAATCAAAAAAGATAATCCAGGCATCAAGGTAACTGAGATTGCAAAGAAGGCCGGTGAAATGTGGAAGGAGATGAAAGACAAATCCAAATGGGAGGAACTGGCTGCCAAGGATAAGCAGCGCTATCAAGACGAGATGAAGGATTACAAGCCCACAGCCAGCGAGGAGAGTGGCAGCAAGTCGGCAGGTGCAACGAAGAAACGAAAGAAGGAATCGCCAACAAAGAAATCACCAGCCAGTACAGGTGGTTTCAAAAGTAAAGAATACATTTCCGATGATGAATCATCTTCTGATAATGAAGATAAGAAAGATGAATCGGGCGCGGCTGACTCAGAGCCAGAGAAGAAAAAGAGCAAATCCGTAAGTAATAGTCATTTTAGAAGAAATAAAAAGCTTAGTTCGACTACTTAACATTGATCTTCCTTAGGCCGATAAATCAGTTAAAGATGATAAGAAAAAGAAGAAAAAGGAGGACAGCGATGAAGAAAGTGAGGCTTCTGCGAGTGGTGGTAGCGATGAAGAGGACGACGAAGAAGTAGAAGCTACAGATGATGGCGAAGGCAGTGATTAAGCGGTGCTTAGTCGGAAATATCGATTCACATGCATACAATTTTTTGGAACTGTTTTTCATTTGTATTTTAAGTGCTCAGTTTGCTAATTACTTCATTTACTATGTACCATGTATGTAACAGTAACGCAGCTTAGTTGTTAACAAAATCACACAATAGAGAGAAGATTAATTCCGGAAAATATGCGATACTACTCAATAAGAAATTTATACCACAATGCTGTTATGAGGAAATGGATAAATATATAAACAATGGAATGAGAAATATGTATGTTTTATTCTCTGAAAGTATGAAGCTTTTGTAGACTATGTATAAACTGACGAGTGCATAGAAAGTAAAATAATACAGCTAAAGACCGCAGTTAAATCCTTGGCTCTAAAAGATTGCCTTCATCCAATTCAAAAGAGATGACCATCCAAGTGAACAATGTTTGAGAAAAGATTAAAGACCTAACTAGGCCCCTGAGCACCATGGAACTTGGCTGTTCTAGCAAGCATATTTCCGCCTCACTGGGGGTTTCGAAGACGGACGAATGTATAGGAGCAGGAGTACACGGTACGAGGGCTATGCTCTCCACTGAAGTAATTCCACTGCATCCCCTAGAATGGGACACAATGGCTAGAAGAAAAATATATTTGGAAAGCTTGGGCCAGGCAACGAAAGGTGACTCTCTGCCACCTCTGAAACTGTTGGAATTCATTATGGCCTTAGGTCTAGACAAGGTCTTATGATGAGGTTTTTTTTTTAAATAGCGAGCATGAGTTTTGAGAATAAGCGTCCTCGTATAAGATTGCGCTTGTGATTTATTTATAAGAGAAAACGATTTCGAACAATTTTTGTAAAAGTGCCTTAAGGCATCATACGGCATTAGAGGGTTAATGTCGCAATGCATATCCTCTCTTATGTTTTTCTGCCTGGCTTCAATTTCGATTTACTCTGGAATGCAAATACGAGTGCGAATAATCAACACCTGCCAATTTGAATTCAAAGCGAATTTTAGTGAAATTCACTCGAAGTGAATTGCAGAACCTGCCTGAATATATCGATAATACCCGAGTAAAGTGTATCGAAAAATATGTAAGTAGTCTTCTTTTTCTTCCTGATAGCGATATCAAAATAAAATACCGATGAAATAAAATATCGACAAATCGATATCGACATCAACGCCACGAAAGTGCTAAGTACACTTACATACTTTTTATATGGTTAATATCTTTGCATTTCACTTCCTTTTCTTAAAATATCTAAGCAATTTTTCCTTTCTCTCATTGCAATTAAAAGACTTAAGGCACAAACTTTGATTGCTTATATACATACATATGTATGTACATGCCAACACACATACACAAATTATTATTTGAGCAATGATTGGCGCGTGTGTTATTCCAAATAAACGAAAAGTGCAATAAACCTATTAACCGATATTACGCATTGTTATACATTTAATTTATATGGCGACAACAAAACAATTGCCCCAAAACGATCATTTAGTTGTACATGTGTACATACAAATAAATATTGAATATTCAAACTTATTGATTAGGCACAACGGAATATGTTTAATATCGATTGTAAATTTATCAAAAAAAAGCTAATTAATGCAAAGAGCAGAAAAGAACAAAATCAAAAGGAAAAAATTAAATCAAATTGAGTCACTCAGTTAATCATTACACGGCATTTAATATTAATTTCAACAATTTCTATATGTACATATACGGTCAGCGTCAAAAATATGAATACCCCGACGTTTCTTTATTTATATTTTCCACACACATTTTTTTTTATTTTTTTATAAAAATATAGTATAGTCATATAGAACTCGCGAAAATTCAAGAACTACCAAAAAATTATCATCAAAATTTTTAACTTTTCAAGTCCATTTCTTAGAAAAATTCTGGGTATGCAGTTTTGTAGCGCATTAAATTTTAGTATTATGAGGTAGAAGTTTCAAGTCTAACTACCCTCAAGTCTATTTTTTTGTCGAGGGTTTTGCGCATTTTCTTACACATAAAAATAGATCTTGTTCATGCGTTATATGGAAGAAAATGCGAAACACCCTTGACAAAAAAAATCTCAAAAATCAACGGTAATTTTAGAGGCTTAAAAGTTGCGCCTCACAATTTTTCTAAGAAATCGAATTAAAAATTTTGATGGAAATCTTTTGGTATTTCTTGAATTTTTCCGAGTTCTATATGAAATTGAAAAAATCGGTTCTGCTGGTTTTTGCAGTAGTATGAATTATATTTTTATAACAAAATAAAAAAAAATGGTATGGAAAATATAAAAGAAGAAAATCGTCAAAACGTCCGGGTATTCATATTTTTGACGTTGACTGTATATGTACATACATACATACATTTGTTTTTTAAACTGTCGTTCTCTTAATTTATGAGTTCAATGCCTACAAGAAAAGCCTTGTTTTGCGGCTAAATAACTATTATTACCATTACTCATGCAATTATCATAAAATCCATGCTTGTTTAATGTGAATAGTTAAATTATTTCACTTAAAAACTCAGGAAATGTTTCTGCGAATGGCTTTTTATTTATTTCGTTGAGTATGCGTATGTTAAAGAGAGTTGTATACTAATTTCTTCAAAATGTGCGAAATAAAAAAACCTTTTTTTATTTTATTTTTCAAATATAAAAATCTTTTTGCAATTTAATAATTTTTATTTCTTTACTTGTTTTTTCGAAAAGAAAAAATTTTTAAATTTCGTTTAGCTATTTTTTTTTTAATTTTATTAAACATGGAGCTTATAAAATATTTTGGACGAAGTCTGGATCCCTGTTCAAAGCAACATATCAAAAAATATTATACAAAACGGAGTTTGTAAACCGCGGCAGGCAATGGCAAACCTCCGAGTTTATTTCAGCCTTGAAAAAACTGCTCATGAAATCCATTGCCGTACGGAGGCGACGTAAAACTGTACGTCCCTCCGTTAGTGTAACAACAGCAAGACATACAACGCAAATTGGAGTAAAAGCTCGGCCAAATACTTAGCGTAAGTGTAAACGCCAAAACAACATTATTATGCCGTCTTAAATTTAAAACGTTTAAATTTTTTGTTTGAGCTGTTAAGAAAAATGTCTCTTTAAACATAAGTCCAAGTATTAAATAAAAAAATCGAAAGAAAAGTTTAAAAATTTACTTTTTATGAAAATTATCCTTGGGTATATAGAAAAAAACTTGACTCGAAAAATTGGAGCCACCTTAATGTCCTTGTATAAAAATTTTTGTATTTTCTACTTTTGCAAAGAAATTGCATCCAAAAATTTGAATGAAAAGTGTAAATTTTTTTAAATATAATTCAAAATATTTAGTTAAAGAACTTCATTAAAAGTTTAAAAATAATTTTTTAGTAAAAATTATATTTGGTTATACGGACAAAAAATAAACTCCACCCTAATGTCTTTATATACAAACTTTTGTATTTTCTGCTTAAAAAAATTAATTCCAAAAATTTTAATAAAATTTTAATTTTCTATAAGAACTATTTTTGTTATACAAAAAAAATCACACTTGAATATACAAACTCTTATATTTTTTAATTCAGTGTGTCTGCTTTTGCAAAAAAATTTGATTTCAAAAAATTTAATTAAAAATTTATTTTTTATAACAATTATCTTTGGTTACAGGGAAAAAAATCAGTATAAAAAAATGAGAGCCACCCTTTATACACAATTTTTTGCATTTTTTGGAAAGGTTAACATTTATGTTTTAAACAAAAAAAATAAGTATATTTGAAAAAATTTGGTTTAAAAAAATCTAATTAAAAGTTTTATAATTCATTTTTTATATATGCTGTTGCCTATATGTATAAAATTTTGTAAACAAAGTTTTGTTTCCAAGAATTTACTGCTTTTTATAAAAATTATATTTAGTTGCCCACCTTTTTTTTAATTCTAAGGGGCCTTATCATTGGTCACAATTACTATTAATCATTTTAAAAACATTTTCTTATTTTTTTTTTTTTGAAATTCCTTTGCACAATAGCAAGTGACATAAAAACGGCAAAGTTGAAGCAAAAAAAAAACAATGAAAATCAAAATGATTAAAATTTTGTCAACAAATCAAGTTATGAATTAATAACATGTATAAGATGAATGCTTTCTTGGGAGCAAGAATTACTTGTGCGTAATTATTGAATTTATAAAAATAAAAAAAAAATAAAATTTGCAACAAAACTTTTCCCGAAGATTGTAGAACTTTGAACTTTACTGAGCATGAATAAGGCAAGTAGCGCATGCTAAGGTGGCCAGATGACGCATGACAATTGCACTTTTATACCAGCCAGCGAAAATTGGCGTTAAATGCAGCAAGAAAAGGGCAACCAACTCACGCAAAACACATTCTCAGTGGGTATTGTAATTGGCGAATTATTGTTACTAAATTATTCGCACCTTTTGTTATTATCAATTACGTTCAATACATCAATCACGCGAATGATTTAGCTGAGTTGTTGAATAGAAAATATACTAAGTACACTCTTTGCAAAGGAAAGTCCTTAAAAAAATTTCCTACAAAAGAATTGTTTTGTTTTATCTTTGATGATATTTACTTCAAATTTCGTGTTTGAAATTATTTTCACACAAGCATTGCTATTGATAAATGAAGTGTTAAGCGGCCGCGATATTGTCGGAAGTTGTAAAACGAATTTACAATTAAATCAAATAAGCTTAAAGTCATAAAAACATATTTTAATGCACATGGCTTAGCACTTAGGAGTGGCTTTGTGTATTGCAAAGTTAATCGAAATATAAGTAATGATGATCTGTTATTAATCGAAGTCAGCGTATCCTCAATTAATAAAGTCATAGCGCAATTCGATTAACAAATGAGTTAGTTGTTGACCTCACATTTTTGACATTACAACATTGCACATTGAGTGTAGCGGTGAGGAAAACAAAGTGAAATCGCAAGTAAAGTATGAAAAGATGAAAATAAAAAATGCACGCTTTATTGTGTTTCTAATGCGCTTATGTAAAGCTAAAAATAATTAAAAGATAATATTCAAATTTGACTAATTAATCAACAAAACTTCTATAAATTGCTTAAAAATGAAAATTGAAAATATCTCCAGGGAATCTTTTTACATACTAAATGTAATAAGGATGGGAGAACTGATAGTTGGTAAATTTAGGCCGAAATTCGACAAAATAAGTACCTTCAGGAAATTTTCATACCTTTTTCCAAGCAGATCTTTATTTAATAAAAAAATTGTGTGCGGGAGTTTTTTGAAAGAGGCTCATTTTCGAAAAAC